ACGTGCATGTCTGTGTGTCAAAATTAACTTTGTGACCTTTCCATGATGACCCAGCTAAATAAAGACACAGCCGTCTTTCTCCCCTCTTCATATTTGGCAACCTTGCTTGGAAGTTGCACACAACTGCGCAAGTCGTCTTTTCTAATGTGTGCTGATCCGCCAACACATCAGCTGCAGATTTTATTGCCATTTCATAGCCTGCGCGTGTACTTTTCAATCAGATGATTCACTTCTGATTTGGATTCTCATCAGAGTTCTGGCTAGGCTTCGATTTTTCTAAGAAATAATATACTTATTATAGGAGAGCATGACGCCGCCCATGATAATAATGACAATTTTGCCTCTCAGTGCTTTCTTTACCAACACCAGGAGGCACAATAATGTGGTTCATATCTTTGAAAAACATGAAAGTAATTGTGTCCACAGGGAAAGTAGAAATGAGGCTCATTCCTAATTCAATGATGAGGCCATGCAAGCACATTTTTCTAAAAATCATCACACTTCCAGCTGGAAAACTGCATGGCTTTTATTTTTGCTGATCTTTTGTGCGTCAATTAGTGAACTTTTATTGTGTTGTTGAATCTGGTTAATTCAAACTCACACAACCACATATGTCTGTACTTCTATGCTTTGGAGGATTCTCATTGACATTAATGTAATGCACTGTGTTTGCCACAATGGTGATATTGTACCTCTGTCACTGGTGTAGATGATCAGTAAAAGACATAGTGGCATCCTACATGGGATTTCACTTGATGTAGTCAGGAAGGTTCAATATGTATTATTTTCTTTGTGTAGTGTATTATGTAGTGTAGTGTAAACTTGTGTTAATTGTGTATTTTTTGTGTGTATATTACCATGGTAACAGCTAATGGAGAGAGCCAAATAAACAGTAAACAAATACATGTCTGACCCAGAGCCTAACTCTTTAACCAAGTCTTTGTCCTCTCGTTGTCAAGGTCTAAAGCTCCATTTGGTCCTCTCAAAGATAGAAGAGCCACTCTGTTAAATGACCCGAAGACTCTAAAGTGATTCTAATCATAATTGCCTGTGCCCCCAAAAAATGACATTTTTATCACAGATTTCACAAAGCGAAAGTGCATTTTAATGCCTCCACCTTCAATAGGGAGAGAGCCTGGGTGTCTTCTGTCTCTCATTTCTCATCCTGCCTCTTGGGTGTTTTCACAGCCAAATTATAGAGTAAAGAAATCTATCTGGCGTTATAACATGGGAGAGATTGGAAATGGAAAATGCTCAATACTGGAACGCCCTCCAAACACATACATATTCATGCTGTGGAAAGCTACATCCATCATTCATTTAAAAATGAAAGTTAATGTGTCTGCCTGTGTTTCTGTATTTGTGTGAATGTGTTTGCATTGCTTCTGTGTACACTTATTAGGAGCTTGTGTGTGCATTTTTCTTTCTCTCAAAGCTACTATCTGGTGTTTGTATCGTGTTAGTCTCTCACCATCCTCTCTCCGGTGGGTCCATTGCCACCGGTCAGGCCTGCTTTAGATTCCAGTTGAGGTTAGAGAACAAGGAGCTTTGGGATCCTGTGTCTGTATGAATATACAATGCTGTAAACACACACCTCACGGCTCCCTGGGCTTGGCTATGATAAGTTATCTGTTCACCTCCTTGTGCATCCTAAACCACAGCTCAGCCGTGAATATGGAAATGAAAACTGTGAGGATGTAAAGGTGAGACATGGTGTAGCTTCTCTGAGTGGAAATGTGTGTGTGACAGAAAAAGCAGGACAGAGAGGCTGAGAAATCCCCAAACTTCCAATTAGCATAAATCAATTACAATTCACTGTAGGCCTGCTGACCTCAAATATAACAAGCTGTCACAACAAGTACGTGTGTGTTTGTGTGGCTAAATTTGTGTGTGGGTTGAACATGTTTCATGACTTGAATACAGTATGTTACACTTGGAGCAGGACGACACATTGAGTATGTGTATGTGCATATGTGATATCTGGCAACATGGTTTAATTCCTTATGGACTTCCTCTGTGTTTGTTGGCAGTTGACAACATTATATTGCTTCTGCTGCGGCCTACTTCTCATGTCCCACTGCGATATAAGATTTTCCAATGACATCTTGAACTGCCATCAGCCCCACAATGTTATGGACTATTTCCTGAAGTTGTGGTGCCATTCAGGGCTATTTCATAATGACTGCAATTGCTTTAGATTGCCCTTTGGTTCAACATGTATGGTAGAAAAACATCATTCTGTTAAAACTCTCATTTGTGAAACAATTTATTGGTAATTCTCTTCTTGGAAATTATCGTTTCCTCTTTTCTCTCATCTCTGATGTTCATGATCATGTGAAAATATATGAAACAAACGAACCGGGCAGTGACTCGTGCTTTTTCAAGTAGCTTTATTTCCAAACTGGAGTGGGATGATGACAGATGGGGGATAGAAGATGGTAAAGCTCAGACCACGCAGTTTTGTCCAAACACAGTAGGAGAAGAGAAAATACAGGCGGTTTCAGGGGAAAAGATGGCGATCAAGAGGCAGACTACTGCATCTGTCGCCTTTAAGCCATAAGTCATACTTTTTTTAAATAAACAAAGCAGCAGTCTCACCACATAAAGCCATGGTTGGTGGATTTGAGGAGCATTACAACTCATATTTGTTGGAAACAGCCATGAATCCATGACCTCTGTGGCTATTTTTGTTATGATTGCGTGGTTATAACTGTTTTTTATTTCTGGAGAGAAAATAACCATTTCAGATGGGGACAGGGAACAGGGAGCTCTTACTTTCAACCATTTTATTTTATCAGTTATTTGAATCTCCAAGCAGCTCTGTGTGGTATGGATTGTAGCCTTAGTGTCCGGCACAAAGTCTGCAAATCATCTAACTGAAACTGGCTTCGGGTGATATTGACATTTTCATGTTCGATTACTTTTTCATAAAAAGTTTGAAATTAAAAAAAGAAACCTCTCTGCTGAAGAGAGGTTTTCCTGCTGCAGTATGTTTGAGAAATTGTACATCCATTAATGTGCTTGTATTTTTGATGGAGCATTTTACCATACTATAACCAGTTAATATGAAATAAGGATGACAAATGTTGCATTGTATGTTCTGCATGATGCACATAACTCAAAGTTCATGTACCTTTAGTTCAACACAAATACCCCCCCCCCCCCCCAATCTCACAAAGCAAGAGCTCGATGGCAAAAATCAATTTTGCTCTTATTGAAGATATTAAAAATCTTTATAGTGTTCGCACTCTTTGATCAGCTCCACTTTGTTTAACTTTCAGAATAAAAGCACAGTAACTAAACAATAAATAGGTAACAGACAGAAAACACAAAATAGTTAGAAATAAATAATACAGTGTTTCAACCTTTGCCTCACCAAATGTAAAGATATACTTCATTAAAGCAACACAGAGCCAGGCATTACTGAGTCAGGCTGGTGTCCTATAAGGCTCTTTATTCCCTTGATGGGACCACTAAAAAGCCATGTACTCAATATCACTGATGAACACTTACTTTCAGTTCAATAAGTCTTTCTCGACACAGTGATATACTACTTTCCATCAAGTAGAAACATTCACCCGATAGATAGCCAAGTGATGCCTGAACCAGGAACTCTGGTCTCTCGTCAATATTAAAGTCGCAGCAGCCAGAGGAGGCACTGACACGTTCTACAGAAAAAACATTAACGTCAATGCGCACACGCATATACACACACACACACTCACACAGGTCAGCAGAATTAGACGATTAGTAAATTGAAGTGTTGCTGCTGACAGCCCTTGTCCCATTGAGTCAATAAGCCTGTGTGCTGTTCACAGTTACAGACACTTTTTCTTTTTTTGTGTGTGTGGAGGAAACTGACAGAGGCGCAGTCCCTTGGTGAGAATAATAAATGTACCATTCATCCTCTCGCCTCTCAGCAACAATCCAAATGTGACACGAAGAGGTCCACTTCAGGCCATGATGTGCCAGAGGCGTTGGTAAAGAGTGACTCAGCCAAATGGTTCTCAGAATAACCCATGTAGGCGTAATTAGGGGTCACATTACACATCCGTAATTGTATTGTTCATCTGTCCTTTACAGTCAATGTAAATGTCTACCTGCTAAATACTGCTGCTCATTGTGAAGCAGGGTTTCTGGAAAATAATGTTCGCATGTTAAATAGTAATAACCTAACCTTTTCAGTCTTCATCAGATGCACCTCCCATTAAATACTATGAACAACCTCTTTCCAAAAAAATGTATTGTTACTTAAATGTCCAAATATTGAGGCAGTTCATTAGAGGGGTTACTCAGTCCAGTTCACTGATGTGATAGTCCAGGTTAAGTTAAAAAAGCAGGAAACAGCAAGCTAAGAGGATGGGCGGCGGGGGGGGGCACTGTCTTACTTTTACATTTCAATGGGGTTTTCTTTTGTCCAAAATCCACCACACTTCAGCTTAGTCTGTATTTCATGACAGGTGAAAGCCAAGCTTGACATTACAAACAACCTGAGTGTCCATTGTGATCCATACTAAGCCAAGAGCAAGGTGTCTGACATGAAGGCCTTCCACATAAAAGTCCACAAGTTAAGTTTGAAAGGGCTCCATTGTCTGTGTTATCACATTGCAATTGTCAGAAACCTTCTCTTGTTGTTGCACTTTTAGATAAAAATTGAGGAACACATGTTTGCCCTGCAGCTGGGCAAATAAGACTGCAGACGTAAGAAATCACCACTAACCTTGTGTGCTCCATGTGCTCTGTATTGATAAATAAAGGGCCCTAGGCTGTCAGGAATCTAAGGTCACTTTTTCTTATTTTTACCTGTTTTCCTTCCCTGTTAGTCTTTGAGTTCTTAATAACTACAAGATATATTAACAGATTAATCGGTCTGTGTTCTTATTCAGGAGTTAATTGTTTTCCTGTGTTCTTCAAGACCTCTCTGGTACTTTTCGTGTCTCTTGCATTGCCTCTTTATTCCATGTCCTGTTTTCACCCCACACCCTATAATACTTTGTGTGTATCAGCTGCAAAGTAGGATTTCACAGTCCATGATTCCTGTTTGCACACACTGTGGCTGTAAAACAGTGGCTTTCAGTTCTGAATTTTATGCTGGAATTTCCACAGTTCAACATATTTTTTTAAAACAGCCCTTTGAGTGTTCTAAAAAATTATTTTTTCTCTGTGCCCTCAGAAATGGCATTTTTTTGTGTCCATGTCCCATGCACTGGATTAAAAGAAAGTGCCCTTGGTGCTTCTGCACAGAATCTTTTTGAAGGCCTTTCTGAAGTCTTTGTTGAAGATGGTGTATATGACTGGGTTGAGTGAGGAGTTACAGTAACCGATCCAGAAGAAAAATGTAAAGAGTGGATCTGGGATGGCACATGTCTCCGGGCACACTGCCTGTAGAGAGTAGGAGAAGAAGAACGGGAACCAGCACACCACAAAGACGCCGATGACCACTGCCAGAACAAAGGTGAAACGTTTCTCTCGGTTTACCATTGCTTTGCGCCTTGCTGCTCCAGGGTTGCTCTCTGTTTTAGACTTTCTCCCTGGCACCAGCCGAGCGCCCTTTGAAGTGGCGATCATGTCCCGATAGCGCTTGACTGAGGCCGGGGAGTGGATCCCCCCTCCTGCAGGTGACCCTGGCATGCTGGTGCTGCCTCGGCCTCCTCCATGGCTGTGCTCCATGTCGCTCTCTGTGCTTGAGCTGTCGCCATTGTTATTGTCAGCTTTTTTCCCTCCCTGAAACTTGCCTTTCTTCCCCTTCTTTTTAGTCTTGGCAGGGGAAGACTGAGGCACAGAGGAGGTGGTTGAGGGGCCGTGGGGAGAGTTATCAAGGGAGGTAGTGACAGGGGTAATAGCTGGAGAAGGGCATGGAGGTTGCAGGAGATTATTGGAGGTGGGATTCTGGGAGGTTTGAGACTCTCCTAGGGAAGGAGAAGGGGTGATGGCAAGGGTGGGGGGTCTGGCACTGGAGGTTTTGTTCGATGAAGGTGGTGTGCTTTCTTCATCATCCTTCCCGTTGGCTTGTGCATGTCTAGAAGGCTGACTCGGTGTTGCACAGCCGACCCCATCTTTCCTGGGCTCTCCTGGTGGGCAACGTGTTCTCTGTTTGGCAATTTGGTAAATTCTTATGTAGACTAGGATCATGATGAGACACGGAGCAAAGAAGGAGCCGATGGTGGAGTAAAGGATGTACCAGCGCTCATCATTTAGCTGGCATTGAGGTCCTCTCTCAGTCCCCAGGTCCCCTGCCTCGCTTTTGTTCAGTGAGAGCAGGGGAGGGAAGGAGATGACCGCAGAGATGAGCCACACCACCACAATAGCGGCTTTGATGCGTTTGGGAGTCCGCTGACGCCCGTAAGTAACCCTGGAAATTGACAGGTAGCGGTCAAGAGAGATGGCGCATAGGTGCACAATGGAGGAGGTGCAGAACAGCACATCCAGTGCCAAGTAGATCTCACACCAAGTAGCCTTGAAGTACCAGTAGCCAAGCAGCTCATTGGCCAGAGAGAAGGGGATGATGAGTGTGGCCACTAAAATGTCTGCAGCAGCCAGTGATACTAAGAACAGATTCTGTGGACCTCGGAGGGACCGGCTGGTCAGGACAGCGATGATGACCATGATGTTCCCCACGATGGTGAAGACAACCATCAAGGTTATGGCAGTGGCGAAGGCTGCTGTGGCTTCAGGGGAGTAAGGGGCGAGCTGCAGGATGCTCTGGTTGCAGGGGATGGAGGCTCCAGAGCTGCTCACACTGCTGTTCCAGCTGTTCAGCTCCATGGAGCAGCCGCTGTCCAGAACTGAGGCCATGCTGGGATTAGCTTTCCAGTAGTCTTTATAGATTAAAAATATGTTTGGTCACTGAATGTAATTTATATATTGGATGTATTTCATTGTAAATGGTTTTAATAAGATGATCATACAATGTTTGTGCACAATAAAATACTGTTCAGTTTAAATAATATATGTGATTATAATAAATAACAATTTATATAATATTTACCTCAGTTGCTCTCTTTTTGTCTCTGTGTTGTTTCCAAATGTTAGCTCCCTTGCATTCTCCACGGCAGATCTTTCAAGTCCATTTTAAGCACAAAAAACAGTCCTGGGCAATGCGTCAAGACACGGATCAGTGCTTTTCAATTAAAAAGACATGCCACTTTCTTACACAAAAAACAAAAGTATTTTTTGTGACACTGTCTGCTGCGCATCAACCTTGGCAGAGTTACAATAAAGCCGGAACAGCCACAACTTCTTTAGAGCACCAAGTTCGATCCTTTTTTCCTCATTTGATTAATTACTGTCTTGGAGATGGGAAGATTCCATGTATAATAATCTAATTTAGGGTCGTCAACAGCGAGGCGACGCTGAGAGCAGATTAAAGTAAATAATCTCGACACTTGTGCGCTCTCCGTGCGTCCTCGTTTGGAGACGCGCGTATAACTGACAGTCTCATCTGAATAGCCAACACAGGATGATGTAGATGTAGTGTAATAAAGTGAATATTTACAGTGATTTACTAACGAAAGGGTCCTGGTGTATCCCCGCGCAGGATAGCCTGACTGATGACAGCGTTCCCGGTCAATCGAACAAGAGAAAACGCAAAGTTCACCTCAAGCTCTCCAGCCCAGAAGCCAGATATGCAGTAAAAACGCGCTGTTTCTTCGGCTTCTGTGCGTCTCAGGACTTGTTTCTTGGTTCTACTGTCTCCTCAGAAGTTCACCGGGATGCCGTGATTCAGCCGCTCCGCTGGCGCACATCACAGGCTTCCTCACAGAGGCGCAGCTGCATCTTCACTTGTGAGCAGGACATTACGACGCAATCTAATGAGTGAGGTGCCTCCCATCTCCTTCTTGCGCTTCTTTCTACACCCAGTGATGTCATTGTGGCGCTGTGGGCGTAATGGGATCCTTACTTTCATCTTAATTTATCCCCATATTCCCTCTCCCTCCCTCTTTCTCTCTATCTTTCACATTAAATCCTCCACCCCAAGAGGCTCAGCCAACGTAGTTATATTAGAAAGGGCTTGTTGGGTGGCACTGCTCCGGCCAATTTATGCTGAGGTGTCCTGCTGAGAGCAGTGGAGAGCAGAGCTGATGCTATCTGCTTTACACAAAACATTAATTTCATTCCAGGGGTTCGTGCACTCAGTCATCATCATTATTATTATTCTCTGCAACACTGCACACATGGCTGATCAGTGCTTTGTTCTGTACACCAGTTTTCATCTGACCACTCCAATCATTTAGGGAGGGCCAATACACGTTTTAACTGTCATTTATCCAAGGGTACTGACACTCATGTTTCCTAACCTAACCTGGTTACAAGCATGTGGTTTTTGGTGAGGTTGTGTAAGACCAATGTTTAAGGTTGTACAGGCAGGTTGTACATTTGTGGGCTTTTGAGCAATTTTTGCCTTTATTTAAACTGGTAATAACAACCATCACATAAACACTGCAGCAAACGTGAATTATCTCCTTATGAAATATAATCCAACAAAATTCTAAAGCCTCCTCCAGCTCAGCTACCTCTCCCTCAAAACTGGTAAATGCACTGTGTTGCCTTCCACCTCGGCTGATTGTGTAAGGTGCAGGGCAGGGGTATAATGCACTTGTCTTCTGTGCTCATGCATGTACATCATCACTTGATTTCCATTTGGATCCCTCCGCATTATGTGACACTTCCTCCCCTAAGAAACACAGACATCCACGGCAGCCCTCATGATTTGTTGCCTTTCTGAAATCAAGTGGCCGATTATGGAGTCAAACCTACGTCATGCTGGCTTTTTTACTGAGCCATAAATTAAAGCAGAGTTTATCCTCTGGTATTTGAAAGTATGTAGGTGGCCTCTGTGATATAAACTCACACACACACACACACACACACACACACACACACACACACACATTTACCAGCCTACACATGCATGCACACAGCCTTATGAATGGTGTGTGGGTAGGAGGTCCTGTTTACTTGTTTTTGTAGTGCGCCCCCCACACATTGCTCCTTTAATGAGAGAGAAGCCCAGCCATGGAATTACAATTGGAAGCCCTGCTCTCTGATTGTGTGACCTACAGCAGCATCCAATAATGGTTGTACATTTTTTTGCTCCACACTACACATTCTAAATATAAAGGAAAAGAGAATAAAGCTTTTAGCAGGAGAGAGCACTTCATTCAAGTGTCTGTGTTTCCGTGGGTGAACCATGCTTTGTAACACGCTGAAAATGCTTTCTGGGGGAGAGGGGTGTGCCATTGATGCCAAGGTTACAAAGACTGAGCTGCACACAGTTCCCAATGCACAGTACATCGCTTCTGAAGTGCTTGTTGTATAACAGCATGTGGTATAGCCTACAAACGTGTACACATAATACACAAGCCTGGGGGAATTTTTGCTGTCATGGATCATGCACAGTGAATCGGTAATTCACCCAGACCCGGATATGTTTGCACCCGGCCTTGGAAAGGGAACCCACTCTCTGAGAAAGATGTTATGTGCTGTGGAAGTCTCTTTTTGTTTAAAACAATTCCTGGAGTCTCTTGATGCAGTCAGATTGAACAAACCTAAGAAGTTTAGAGAAATTGTCTTTGTTTCCCAAATGAGTGCCAGAGAACTGCAGGTCAGCATAAAGCAGTGTTGTGGTGGGAGTCAATTTAGACAATTTAGACCTTTTTTGAGTGATTGGCTTGCCTCCTGTTTTTTGTGTGCGTTTGTACTCACATATTACTCTGCCTTTGTGAGGACCAGTTTCATTTTCAGAAATTGACAGTGAGGACAGATATGGAAAAGTGTGGAGAGTTTGGCCAGCAAATGAATAAGGCGTGATTTTATGGTACTAGTTGAGGTTAGGCATGTTGTTGTGATGTGTGTGGTTAGAGCTGGAGACAAAGGCAGCAGATCCCAACCCTTTTGGTTTGTGACTTTTCAAAAAGAAGTAATATCTACTTTTCTCAGGTTGATCATCTGAATGGTTTTAGGCCTAAAAGCACTTCATTACTGTTTTACAATAAAAAACAATGATTGGGTGAAAAAAAAGCATTTTAATCTTATTTCCCATCGGTTCATATTCTTGCTTCGACTTCTACTGGACTTGTGTCCCTGTGTGTGTAATCTGCAAACAATTACAGCAAGCTCTCCCAGGTGGTCATACAGTAATTTTCCTGAATGTATTTGTAATAATGACAACTGGTGCTTATGTGTGTGCATGCAGGCCTGTTTGTATATGAATTCATGTCACCATAATTCTCCAGCTAACAATATCACACATATTGCTCCTTTTATCTATTAGCAGTTGTTGTTCTTGTAGATTCCTTGTTTGTGTGACACCGTCTTCAGTGAATAGTAAATACAGTAAATTTACCACATGTAACAGAAGTATGATCCCAGTACAAATCCCAACGCTCTCGTTCATATATTACAAGCACATGCAAACACACATGCATGCCATTGGGAGGTATTGCCACAGCCGGATGTAATATAATTGATCCTGACAGTAGTTTAATCTAGACATGGAGTGTGAGTAATGGTTTGAGCCTGGAGCCTGACTGACTGAGAAGGAACTGAATACAGCAAACGAGATGAGACATTCAGATGAACGGTAGGTGGTCTCCTTCTAGAGATAAATAAATGACCAAGTGAAATTGGACCAAGTGTCATTAAATGTGTTAATGGACAAAGTGTGTGTGTGTCTGTGTAAGAGAGAGAGAGAGAGAAAGAGAGAGACGTATACATGTGGCATCTTGGTATTACAAAGGCTACCATATTTATTAAACAGTCGGCTGGCACCACCTGCTGGATACTTTTGAATCATCTTTAATTTCTGGTCATTTCAAAATTGCCACTAGAGAGCACAGTCTCACTACAAACTAATACCATACATAACTAAAAAGTAGGTATTATCAGCAAAATTATACTACTTTACTAAAATAGTAGGCTACTTTAAAAATTTGATTAGTAAAAGTACTTGTATTGCAGAATAATATATGTGGTTGTATATGACATTATTGCATTGTTAATTCTGATGCGTGAATGCACAAGCAGCATTTCACTTTAATTATAACATATTTATATACATATCATATCCTGTCCTAGGGTTTGAGCCCTCTCCAAAGAAAGTAATTATTTATTTCAACCCATTGGAGAAATTTAGAGGAGAAACGTCTCTTTGGTGGAATTACTTACAATGTGAGGACATTTTTTTTTTGTAAAGGGGTCAAAAGCCAAAAAGGTTGGAAACCACATAATTATTAACTATACATTGTATTTTATAGGGCTTATCACACACACACACACACACACACACACACACACACACACACACACACACACACAAAAGGCCTGTTTCTCTCAAATTGTCCACAAATCTGTCACTTCTCCTTTGCCAAGATAATCCATCCACCTCACAGGTGTGCCTGCTGGCCACAATAAAAGGCCACACGAAAATGTGCAGTTCCATCACATAGCACAATGCCACAGAAGTCGCAAATTTTGAGGGAGTGTGCAATTGGCATGCTGACTGCAGGAAAGCCCACCAGATCTATCTATATATATATATATATAATGTATATACATAGTTTGTTTTGTTTTTGCCTTTAAGGGACAGGACAGTGGATAGCGGTAGGAAATGGGAGAGAGATATATATATATATATATAAATAAATGTAAAATTTATTGCTACATAAACTTGTTGAGAATGATGTGACAACTCCTGTGTGTCTACTCTGCTTGTCTTGTTTGGTCTCTTGCCTCCTCCCCTTTCAGGAGGAAATAAGGCCAGAGTTTCACCCAGGCTGCTGAGTTGACAAGCCTTTAAAAACTGACCTGCTCAGTCCCTCTCTCTCGCCTAGCTCCCGCACGATCACCTTTGTTTGTGTGGGTTGCTTTGTTTTCACATCCTTCACTCATTCATGCACACACCCACATTACTGATCTCACTGATAAAAATATGGTTTTATTTATGTAAACAGTTTACTTTATTAAATGGTTTACACTTCATGTGTGTTCCTCCACTTCCTTGCTCTGAACTGTGTGCAAGTTCATGACAATAGCTCGCAAAATATGGTGCTTTCGTTTTCTCCGGACGATTTTATATGTATAAGTCTCTCTATGAGCTGTAGGTGAAACTCACTCACTCACAGCATCACGATGAGCGAGGTGCGCTTCAATACGCTGTTTGCAGGGTGTGATTCTGATGACGCGTGACATTTAGAATGAGACAGGAAGTGAAAGGCAGAATGGACGAGGCATTGTTTACCCAGACAACCTGTGTTAGTGAAATCTGGAATCGCCCAATTCATTCTTAAATTATGACAAAAAAAATTTTTTGAGGTCACAATGACCTTTGAGTCAAACGTGTCACCTGTTCAGTGTCACAATCTACCCCTTCTGTTGTTGAGGTATGGTGTTGAATCATGGCCAAAAAGTGTTTTTACCAGGACATTTAAATGTCATAGTGAAGCTGACCTTTGACCTTTTCGGTAAAAAATGTCATCACTCCATAGATGTATCCCATTAGACATCTGTGTGACTTTTTGTCATAATTACCACATCAGTTCTTGAGTTATGGCCAAAAATGTGTTTGTCAAGGTGATTTTGGGGTCACAGTGGCCTTGAGCTTTGTCCTTTGACAATCAAATTCTAATTTGTTCGTTTGTTTGCGATATCACGCTCACAAGAATGGGACAGATGGACGTACAGCGTGGCAGCATAAAAGGTGCCCTTTGAACCCTATTTGCAGCAGAAACCTTAGAGTAAATAGATGAATACTCCACACAATACATATACATTGAATCTCTAGCTTCTCTTAACCTTTATTTAACTGAGTATCGGGATCTTAACATATACATAATGTACTTTATATGTAATATACTGTATAATACTGTATATGTTGATGAAAATATCCATTACAATTTATTAGATTTTCTTTATATAAATGTCTAAATGAACACAAATCCGAACAAATGGTATTTTTCTGGGTTTCAGTTGAACTAAAGTCTCAGTCTTAATCAAAACCTGAAAATTCCAAGGAACATTTCTCTGCCCTCTGTCTGGAAAACTGTTGCTAATGGAAGTAAGAAGTCAAGCGTAACAGTTGTGCTTGCATACACGTTGCGCAATGGATACTTGCAAATGAGAGGAAGTGGATTATTTTAGCCGTCACAAGAGTGTGGGTGAATGAATTAGCCTCAGGGGATGAGGTAGTAGTGGCAGCTTGACCTCGACGCACTAAAAGTGATCATCTTTTGTCATTTCTACCTACTCGGTAAAGTTTAGTTTGCTTACAAATACCATCGACGTTATTTACAACAATTCAATGTTTACTCAGACCTTCACCCATGATAAAATAAGGGATATAAACAGTGTCTGATATTCTCATGATGTACTATTCATCTGACAAACAGTTGTTGACATGTTTGAACGTAGATCTGCGTGGATGTAATAATAGTTCAACTGGAATCTGGCAAAATGAGGTCAAACAAGAGCCCTAAAGCTACATGCAGTATGCAACCGGTATGCTTGGTAAGTCTATGTGAATAGTTCTTTAGTTACCATAAGATCAAAATGTCACAAATACATCTCGACCAGTAATATGGACTTTCCAAACTTCCTGACTGCAAATACCCTTTATGACTTTCTGCCCTCTTGCAAATGTCCTCTCATTGTTAAACAAAAATCCTTGTGACAAAGTTGTTGCTCGCAACTTGAGTAGGTGGATGTGAAATGTGCGTCAGTGGTTGTTGAGGTCAAACGGACTACACACTGTAAAACCCATACTCTTTGGATAATCCTGCAAAAGACTCAGCAATGCACGGCTTTAGTACCTTCTGATTTAGCAAGAGCGAATCGAGCGCTGTGTGTGAAATTCTGCATTTGTAATGTGCTCTGCGGAAAGACTGCAAAACATTCAGGGCTAACTGAAATGAGATTACCGTTTGTGTCAGGAGAGCCAGTGCTGGACTGTAAAATCACTATATCTTTTAGGATTTAATAAAATGAAATGTTTGTCATGGTATGTATTACAAAAAAGGACATACATGATACAGTAAAGTAAATAATACAGACTCAGTGTTCTTCAGCATATTTTTAATTTAGTGGAAAAAACTGCAGGAATCAGCCAAACCTTGAAGGTATAAAGTGCAATAACGGACAGTAACACTGTCATAACACATGTGGAAATAATAAATAAAAATTCTATTTACATAATAAATCACAACTTCTTCCAGTTTGTGAAATGTCTCAGGATACAGAAATATTCGAATAAACTGCTGTTAGTGCATTTTTATAAATTAGACAACAAAACTTGAGATTCATCCAGTATTGCCTTGATTAGTTAACACAGTGTTGTTTTCATAAAAGACATGTCTCGTCACAGTGGTCCTAACTGTGAAGGAATGGCTTTCAGTAGGTAAAGAAGACAGCCCTTGCTGCCAAAGATCAGGCACATAAGTTAAACAATATGACACACAAAGCCAGACAAGCAGGCCTGTTTTGCCTTAAGTTTAAAATATCAGGGAAATGACCTCATAGCTGCTCCAATTTGCTGGTTCAGAATCACAACAGTTCATACTGTAATGCGGTTATAACAGCGTAGTCTATATTGCCAGCTGCTGTTTGTTGTATCAGGGGTCAGTTTTTTCCTGAAAACAGGAGTCCAGATCCATCAGCCCTGTGACGCCACCAGCACAAGTAGCTTTTCTCTGAATGTACAAACTATATACTTAAATGTACTAGTTTCAATAGTATAAACAATTTCTAGTCCAGCACATTGCCTACAAAAGGCAGTTGAATTCCTCTTAATGTGTCAGGGTCTTCATCCCTGACAGAGAACGTCCGTCTCAAACTGCAGCAGCTGTCCCATGAAGGCCAGGTTGGGAGAGATGACCTGACGCCGCTGCTTCACAAAGTCAAAGGCCTCATCCAGCCTGACGCGCTGCGTGTGCATGAGGTAGGCCAGACAGATGGTGGCGGAGCGGGAGATACCTGCCTGGCAATGCACCAACACCCGACCACCACTCTGCTTCACTGAGTCTGTGGGCGAAACGGAAAAGACGAGACAGAAAGAGGAAGAGAGATTAGCATACTGGGCTCCATTTTGCATCAGTTTCTTTGACATCAATGAGATTGTTTAACAAGCTTTTTGACAAAAGGAGCAGTCTACCCACTTATGAAAATGCTGTTCTAACTGACCAAGCTAATGGAAAATTAAACCATAGTTAGTTCTTATAAATCCAACTCTGTCTTCTCCTGAACTTTTGCAAACACAAACTAAATGTAAATGTTAATAGAAGGTTTCTTCTGCAGCTACTGCAGCATAATCCAGTTGTTTTGTAATCAGGTGATTACACTGTTGGTCCATAAATCAAGGCTACAAAATGGATTATAGTGTAGAAGCTGCTTAAGAGAAATCCTTTGGATATTTTATGTTCAACTTAGTGTGTTTACCAACTTTGTTCGAGTTTGGACTGACATTACAGTGAGCAAATAATGACTGAACTGTCGTCTTGAGGTTGGACTGCACACAGGCTGGGAGATATGGATGTTTATAGCAGCAACTCACTGATGAAGGCGATCGCGGTGGGAAAACAGGCTCTGATGTCAGCAGCTAGGTTGTCCTCCACATTGAGCCTCAAGTACTGAAACTCCCCCTCATAGAAGTTAGGGCATGAGGAGGAAACATTGAGCACAGCTGTGATGCCCGCTGCTGTGAGGGTCTCTCTGCGAGAGGAGTGGATGGCACTGCCCAAAAACAGGAAGGGCAGCAGCTCCACTGGACCATCCTGCAATTTACAAAATCCATGTTTAAAACCAAGAATAATCACTACGCAGTTTGCTGCTTTTTTATGCTACATATTTCCCCATCACTTAAAAGAGCTTTTTGATCTAAACTCATGTATTACATTGTTTATTGTCTATTAGCTCTAATAAAAAGGTGAATTTTATCTTACCCGATCATATGCTGGTGTCCTCCGACCTGTCACTGTTGGCTCTGGTTCCACTGTAGAGAGGTGATTGCTGGCAGAGCTGTAACAGAGCTCTGGATAGGCCTCTGAAAATCCCTCAAATCCACCTAAATGAGGTCAGATAGTGTTAACTAAGCCCCAAGCTTTCACCAAAGTCCTCCTTAAAAATGTGTTGTGTGAAACAATAATAATGATGTGGTAAGCATGAAAAGGAAGCCTGTATAGACATTTTTAAAATTACAAGTTCAACGGTTTGTTTATCCTTAAAGTGTGATTATGGAGATTTTCTTTACACTTAAAAGTTACTTTTGTATTTAAAATAGGCCTATATCAGTGCACAGATATTAGTTAACACATTAGCATGTTTAACTCTTGCAAAGTCCATTCAAAAGAAGCCTAAAATAAAATAGTTTGGTGCGTAAAAACACATTTATTTAAGTCTTTTTACCTTGTAGGAAGCAGATCTGCGTCTGAACTTCGTTTTGCAGTGCGGTGAGCAGCATTTGGGCCACACTCTCCGCCTTCAGAGCGGCCACGGAGCGGCTGCTCTCATCCACCACCACCAGCGGGGAGAACTCCCCGCGGCGCAGGCGGCCCAGGAGAGCCTTGTCCGGGATGAGCCACTCCAGAGCCACCACCGAGCTCTTGGATCTACGACGCAGCATTGAGTTCCAGTTGACGTTTCGGGACTCGCAAATGTGCGCAAAAGAAAAATCGAGGAAAGGTCTGCAGTCCAGCACCACACATCCAGCAGAGATGTACTGGTCCCGGGGGGTCCTGAGTATGTGAACCAGCTCATGGCCAGTTATTTCCAAAGTCTCACTGCCTGAAGTCATTGCCGAAAATGTGTGTTTAAAATAATTTAAAAGTAATAAAAATGTGTTCCTCTCAACTAAAAATATCACAGAACAAAAAATAAATCCGGTCTTTGTTTTTTTTTCTGTAAGAAGTTTGAGCACAAAGGTTGATAGAGTAGCCTACTTTTGGAGATGATGTTAAAATCTACTGTAAACGTCTCTGGAGTGAACTTGTTAACTTCTTCTTCGGGTCTGTTAAAATCGGCTTTCGATTGAGCATTTCACTTGTTCATTGATAGCAGCTGTGAGAGGGGAGGGGTCCCCGCGACCCCTCCTTCTTTTCCACAGAAGGAACCGCGTCAGAAGCGGGACGCCCATATATGGCCAGCCCGACACTCCTCATATGGACACTGACGTCAAACCTCACTTTCCTACCGCGCACGTGTACGTTGGGGGTTATCCCTTGTTTTTGTGATGCATGACGTTATGCTGACACCCAAGCTTTCATACTCCGCACTGAAACGGCAGCCTTCAGAGGAAAAGGGGAAGGCGGTGTGTTTGTTATTTGGGTTAGGCTATATTAAACCTGAGCTTCTCTAGCCCACTGCATGACTGCCTCTGTTTTCTTTCCCCATGCAGAGAACAGATTTCCATGTTTTACCTTGGGGAAAAGTAAAATGTTGCACTGATAAAATGCCAATTGATACTTGATATTGTTTTGTTTGTGCTCTGCTGAGTAATCTAGAGCATTTGTATCATTATTCTCTATGACATTAGCTTATTACACGGCAATAAAATAAAATCTCTGCCTCACAGAAAACAGGTGCACATAGCACTTCTTATATCAAATAGCCTAAACAGATTCAGCAATTGTTTCTGCTTATTTTATAAAGTTTCCGGACTGTACCATTTATGGATTACACACGTTTTATCACACATTTTATTTTGGACATGGGAGATTTTACAAAAAATAATCCCGACTGTAACTGAATAACTTTTTCAGAAACTTTGAGCACATTTTACTTACACTCAAAGGATAAGGCTGGTGGTATTCTATCTTTTTGTTACTGTTGACAAATCCCATTAAAAGACCAAAACCAACAATGTGTTATTTTCAGTCCAGTGAGGCAATCTTTAAAAACAAGTCACAAATACATTCTTACATTTAAAAAAAAAGGCATTCTGAGTTTTGAGTAAACATTACTCAGACAGGAGCAAATAGAAAATTGTCAGCTGTGGATTTGTGTGGGATGGACTCAAAACCTAAACTAAATTGCCTTCATCACAATACGGATCCTTGATGTATTTATTTAACACTTTCTGGACAACAATAGAGGTCTTTGGCAAATAGGAATAAGTTAATCTTTGGCTACACAAGCATTACTTGTTAGTGGGATCTAATTTATAGTTCGCAGATCAGATAACAGTATCATTTAAGAAGATTACTGGTCATGTTTTGTGCTCAACAAGAAAAGCCAGAAATTAGAGAGAAGACTTGTGCCTTCAGTTCAGCAAACAGGAGGATTTTCCATTTAAGTTTGCAGTGATCCTCTTCTCCCTTTTTTGATAGAAAGCTTTCTAATAAGAAAAAAGATGGTCACAGCTCACTATTAAACTCAGGATTTGTACGATGTAGTTATGCTTCTTTGTAACCTTAAAGGCCCCAAAAACCAATCAACCACAGTTGTGGGTGACAGCGTTGTCCACAATCAAGAAAATGGGATCAAACCGTACCCACACATAACACAACTTTAAATTTAACTGTTGAAATATAGGCTTTCAGGGGCTTTGAGCACATCTCAAGAGTAGTCTTTTTTTGCATTTTTATGTGAGTAGTTTTCAATTCTGCATTTGTAATATTTAAGTCAAACACCAGTGATTCTAACTGAGCTGGATATTGTAGACATCTTTCCACCCCTGGATACAGGACACTCAGTTACACACAGGAAATTATACTTTATGTGCGGTGTGGGATAGTTAAGGTGTAATCTGACGTCTTTGTCTTCATTTCCTCATCACCGACATTCAAATCTGCCCTGCCGCAAATGTCTCCCACTCAAACCTCTGACTCCACTTTCTTCATGCTCCCACTTCCCTTCTCACCCTCCCTCACTGCTTCCTGCTGGTCCCGCAGCAGCACTCCCACTTTGTCATGCTCCCTCCCTGCTGAGGCTGTGATTTCAATCCACAGTAGTACACACACACACACACACACACACACATTTGTACACAGTTCATCATGGCTGTCAGTAGGACCGCTGAGCATGCATTTACTGTAGCCTCAACCTGCACTTCTGGCTTGAACACACACACATAAATCCACAGTGAAGTGATGAGGTCTGTTGAGTTGGAAGACTGTGACGCGATTGTCTCTGTATGGTGAGTTAAAAGCATGTTTTCTTTTTCAACACTCGCCCCCATCTCTTCAGCCCGACAGGAAACAGCACCGCAAATACATCCTGTCACCCATCCATGCAAGGCCTCAGCATCCACACACACACACACACACACACACTGTATCATTGCAACCGTTGTTAGATGTGTCATAGCTCATAACCCAAACTGGCTACGCCTGATTGTTTGTCCAAAATGACCCTGAAAAGCCTTAGCTTTCAGAGGTGACTGGATTACCTAATTCCTGGCTGCGGTGACTCATATGTGATCAATCACACGCTTTCATTTTCATTTGGTTCACATTTCATTGTCTTTCCTATATTAGCAAATCAGAGCGCCATGGTTGACAAAGAACGAACCATGAATACATCTGGCCTTACACAATACCGTTACATAGGTGGTGAATTGGTTGTTGTTGTTGATTACTTTATGACTTTAGCCGCTGACGATGAAAAAAGGCAACAGTGAGCAGAAATGTGACATGTGATAGACGAGGAGTTGGTGGAGATCATGAGAGAATTTATGAGAACAGAGGTGACTGTTTTTTGAATCAGAAGCACCTTATGTCAAAATTTACAGAAAGCACATACTGTAGGCAGAGGGAAAAAAATAATTAAAAAGTCTATTGATGGTGTGGCAAGAAAATGGTGTCTTCAGACTGATAAGAACACATAAAGCAAAAAGTTTGTTCTTACTCAATCTCTGAATGGGTGACTAAACATTCAAAGAAACCCTGATGAAAACATCTGCTGCTATCTTTTTACCCCTCCTGTCTCCCTCCTCCTCCAACAGGGGATTATTCGGGATTGATTGGATGGCTGGGGCTGTTAATCTCTGAAAAAAACTGTAATCCGGGAGATTTACCTCATCCCTGATTCCTCTCATAAACACCCACGTGACCATGCCATCGCTCCATTCAGGGGGAACGTGTCCCTGCCAGGGTCAGATCAGTGATCGTGTTTAAGGCAAGCTGGTGCTTAATGCTATGGAAAGTTGAGTGCTTTCTGGGGGATTTTGTGTGTGTTTAAGTGGGTGTGTCACGCTTTGTTATGTTGCACCACAAACTTTCTTTTTATGAGTGAGATCGGCAATCCTTAAGTTTTTATGTTTTTGTTTTAAGTTAATCAATATATTTCAAAAACATCTAAACACATTATACGCTTCGCAGAGCCACATCTGCGAGTAGTGAACATGTTTTCACACTTACATGAAATTTCTAGACATGACTTGGCACTTTGTGCTTGGAAATTTATTTAGCCACAGAGAGAAATGTCCAACCTGAAATGAGTAAAACCTCCCTGTCTTTAGAGTGTGTGTTTACTGTGCGCAGTGTCTCCATCACACCGTGTTTTGTGTGTGGTTTTCCTCCTTCCTCTTTCTTCTCGGCTTGTTCACAGCTCTCCTCTGATTTATAATAAATCTACCAAGATCACAAACACAGTTATCATAAATTTAAGATAAAACTAAACACAAAAAATGACAGCAAAATAACAGAAAGATCTGCCCATCAAGTGCCCTTTATGTGCGCAAGAATCTAAGTTAACACCTGTTGATTTTTGCGCTCAAGTAACTGACATCACTTCCTGGAAAATATGACTATACGGTCAGAGATAACGTTTAATGGCGTAATGGGTTCAATTGTAAACAATGAACCTATTTACAAATCTATTGTAGCTTCATACTAAACATACTAATCTCAGGATTAAATCCTCAAACTATACGACTCACTTCCTTTATCTTGCATCATTTAGCTTGTCATGCTCTCTGTTCTGTGTCACCTCTCTCACCCCCACCTTTCCCGCTAAACCTCTCATCCTCTCATTTTTGTCCCCTCCACCCACTTACTGTCTCTCACCCCAGGACAACTGTAATGCCTACGCAGGCTGCCAGACTCAGAGCAGTAAACACGGCGATGACTGGCATCAGCAGGCCCTCCTCAGTAGGTAGAAAAGGTGAGTAGTTGTTTCCATGAGGCAGGGAGGGCAGAGTGATGACAGGTCGGTGAATTTGGACAGGCAAAGGGGTGACTGAAGAAGGAGAATTAAAATAACAGAGAGGTGCATTATTAGAGTTATAGAGTAATATCTATGTAGAGGAAAATATCAGGACTTTACAGCTTTCTGCTTGTCCTAGATCAACTATGGACAGGGGCTTTCACATGAAATTGTTTGCCAGCAACCTCCAAACAGACACAGGTCATAGACTCTCTTTAAAGGGATCTCCTCTTAATTTTACATTTTATTGTTTATTTAGCAGGCTACTGTTGGAGCTGTAGGCATTGGATACTGGTAAGGAAAGGAGTATTAGTATTTTTTTATCTATCCTCCGGTTGGGATTATTGTTTAAGGCAATTGTATTTACTTCATTACAAGTAAACACAATGTGCTTTTTATTAAACTCCATACGGAGTTACGGAGAAAGAACAGGTATGAAAGGACACACAAATAAAATACAATAACTTCCACACAGCAACAAAAGAAGAGAGAAAAACCACCCACCCTTGTACAGACACTGACATGCCCCACAGATACAAACCACAAACACAGACTCACACACACAGAAACAAATCTTACATCTTACAAACCTGAAATGTTTACTTTTACATGTAGTGAATTCATTTCTTTGAAACTGAAACCTCCTGGATATCCTTTAACATCACCATGGGCCTGAAAACTAAAATTTATGAACACTCGTACTAGAATGCTGGACTGGGACTTTAACTCATCTTACAGTTTAAAGTGTTTTATTTACTACCAGTTATTCAGAGTTGACAAATGTTTATTAGAGCGTTTGTACTCTTATGTGGAAGCAGTTCAAAAGTGCTAAATTAACTCAGATGTAATGCCGCCATTTGCCCTTTCAGAGTTGAATTATCTAATAACGTGTCTGGGATGACGTGTACTCCTACCAGCGAGCAGGAAAGTGACTCGGTAGAAGACGGTTCCATTTTCGTCCTGCAAAGAGCAGCGATACGTTCCTTGTTCATCCACATGCAGCTGATTTAAGACCACAGATGAGTCGTCTGTCACTACCAAGGCTTTGAAGTTGCTCTCAGTCAGCTGCCAACACATATTTGGAAGTGACAGATGTAAGTAAGTGGGTGTAAGATACAGTAAATACACATACTCATGATGATACTGTACATCTAAATAAGAGACTAAACGTAATATGTGGGAATCAGGAAGTATACAAAGTGGTTAAAAAGTGGGAAGTTAGTTTCCACTCATTTGTTCTATAAAGTGCTATGCTATTATGCTTCTGTTTGTGTTGTTGCTTGACAAAGAGCCAGTGATGGCAGAAAGACCTTTTCCGTTTCTGGCACACCAGGGGCCCAGGAGTAGTGGTACTCTGGTCTTCCCAACAGTAGACGATGCCATGAAGGAAACAGTTCAACACTGCCTGGCCTCCCTCCTCAGCCTGCACTGGATACTCTGCAGAAAAAGCGGGAGGGGGGTGAGGAGAGAAAAAAAAAAAAAAAAGATGCTTCATTCATTTGCATCAGGATTACTTGAATAATCTTTCTCATTAGCCCTGCACATGGACAGGCAGCAGCAGTGCCTTGCTTAGGAACACATTTATACACTCGTGACAGCTTGTGTCCATGGAGAATGGTGCACTCCTTATATAGGTACGACTAGAACTCATCCACCCAGTCTCCAACAACATGCACACATTAGCAAAAATATATATATATACCACCGCAATCCTGTTGGCCAGAAGGAGAGGGACAGATGTATATCTTGTAGTGGCAAGAGATGCAATCCATTACTCTCTGTTTCAAAAGCCCTGAGAACCACATACACATGTACAGACGTGTCCTGTAAACGTGCACTGAATATGTAGCATGTACACAGGGTATTTCTATAAGGATCTACACATATAAGGGGAGCATCAGACAGAAAAAAACTTACCACACTTGTTGGGACACAATCCTGATGGAGAGACAAATAAAAAAAAGTAATGCATCTCATACACAGCAATGACTTACACAAAGTGCCCTGCCTCACACTGTTCAGAGAACTCACTGTTATTCATGCCAATTACCATCACGGATGAATGTGTCCAAGTGTTTCTCTAAGATTTTCCTGCCCTTCTCCATGATCTGAATGGCTTCGAATGTTACAGATCCTTTAAAAAAAAAAGGGATTTGTCTTAAAATCTGGCAGAAACTTTGTTCTGATTACAGTGTCATGAGTAAATACATTCAGTGATGATACAGGGGAACAATTACAATAACCTTAGTGTTGTGCTACATTCCCCCCAAAGTTTCCAACTACTGTGTATCCATCTGGAATTAATAGTCATGATTTGGTTTCTCACCAGTGTCCTTGGTTTTCAAGAAGCGGTCAAATTCACTCTGGTACTCAGTTGTGGCTCTGTACAGAGTGGTGGGATCTGAGCAATGGGAAACAGATTTTATTTTAATTACAGTTTACGCATTTTACTCATACTTTCATCCAGAACACAATGAGGTCCATGGTAGTAAAAACTTCAAATAATGACAATATTTTAGAAAGATTAAATGAAACTAAGATATGACATTCAGTTTAAGTTCTTTCATGCGAAATATCAGTATACTCACACTCGTGCCAGGTCATATTGTGCTAAACAAGGCCTTAATCTCACCAATGACTCCCTTTCGTATCTGGCTGGTCTCTCTGTAGGTCACATAGGCATGGTCACAAATCTTTTTCAATTCAATCTGGTTGTCCACAGTGGGAGCAGAGAGGACTAAGTCCTCATGTAGGAGCCTGACCCTGAGGTCACACTGCAAACAGGCCTTGGCAGCAGGGACACAGCAAAGCAGGGACACCAACACCAGCAACATCTCCCCTCGGTACCCTTAACTTCCTGCTAGGAACTAGGATGAGTCACTTTTGCTCCTCTGTCAGAGCAGGTTCTGAAACAAGAGTTGCCAAATATTACTGCAGCTCCAAACACCATTCAATTTGGTTGTGGTATTTTCATCAAACACAGACTTATTAAGGAGTTTGCACCATTGTCAGAGCTGAAACTAACACTTATTTTCATTATTGATGAATCTGCCTTTTATTATTTTGATAGATCAATTAAAAACTAAAGAAAAAAGTGACAAATGCTGTTCACAATTTGCCAAAGCCCAAGGTGACGTCTTCAGATGACTTGGTCTGTACGATTAACAGTCGAAGACCAAAAGTTATTCAGTTTACTATCACATAAGACAACTGAGAAACTGAAAGTAGTGAATTTTTGGCATTTTTGAAAATCAAATGCTTATTATAACTGTGTCAATCAAGAAACTGAGTAATTGTTTTAGCTCCATACATGTTAGACGAATATAAGCAAGTATAATAAAGCTATTAAAACCAGATTTTTGACACATGGTCCCTCTACAAGGCCAAAAGATTAGGTAATAATGCAGGACTCCCCATTGATTTACAGTGGATTTATTAAATTTCCCAATCCAACTGATATGCTGTGAATGTAGGACATCTGGGGCCCCTTGGCCCAGTTGGAAATCCAGCCTTGGCTGCCTCTGAATCTGTTCTTACTTCAACTAGTGATATACAAATACTTTAGTTTGCAGCACTTAAGTGCTTTAAAAGCTGTTGCTGCATCTGCTAATGCTACAACAAGTGCTACTATCATCCTGCCACTTGCTATAACTGACTTACAGCTACTATTGATATAAACTAGGTAGGTTATTCCAGCAGTTGGTGCCATGACCACTACTAATACTATTATTAAATTAATAAAAAAAACGGTAATAAAGCTAACTAGCTAAATAGTTTCAGGCTACCGTTTTCAACTGTAGCTAGTAGTGTTGACACTGACTGATATTCAATGGGACAACAATAACAAGAATATTTGCATGGCCAAATAAGATAAACAAGCATAAAATTCTTGATCTAAAATACTCAGTCATTCATTTAGCTCCTGTGTTTAAAGCTTGTTGCTGTCCCCCAGTGGTAGGATAGCTTGTCACAGTCACAACAACATTATTATTTGCTCTGAATGATCTCACCTCTGTAGTATGTTCTGAACAGTTTTGCAATTTTGTTCATGTGCCAGCCTGCCAGTCAGATTCTGCCACAAACTGCAACAGTACTGTCACTGTTCACCCCACAGTTCACCCTTCAAAGACAATACAAAGAGTAATAAAAATGCAGATAAATCGCATATTTACAGTATTGTTTTTAAATAAAAACCGAAAAAAGATAAAATGCCGACAATTTTATTCAATATTTGAATTGTTTCCATGGGTAACGTTAAGTTAACGGTCGCACATGTGATCAAAACCGCACACGTTAATTTCTAAAATAATGTTAATAATTAGTTAGCATTAGTTTATCCACTGTACTTCTGTCCTGTAGTTTGACACTTTGAGTTGCTGGCAGGAAACAAACTGTAAAGCTCCTCTTGCATTTCCGTTGTATATTTGGTAAGCTTTTTGTGGAGCGAATTCTGAAGACCTTATTCTCCTACTACATTTCCCAGAAGCCCACCTGTCAGTGTAGTGCATCTGTGAGTGACAGATTTCATGGACAAATCCGCTTCTAGCTCTTTCGTTTGGGCGGGACCATTGAACTTTAAACCACCCTGCAGCTGCGCAGTGGGCTACTGCGCTCTCAAATATACACACTGACCTCAGAGAGTCAGATGCGGAGGTAAGATAACTCTCTTTGTGGTTACAACGCTATAAATTAGTTTGAGTGTATTTTCTAACTTAACTCTAACGCGTGTTATTGACATAGACAACATGGCTTTTAACGGTGAGCACGACTGTTTTGAAACCCAGTTCGTGACAACTACAGCCGGTTACAGTGTCGTTGTAATGTCCCAGTAGGCTACAGCGTCAACAGCCTTGTCAACGAGTGAATGTGGGTTATCGATCAGGCACTTGCACATTGGAAATGTTTGGTCAATTAGTTACATGTCACCTTGACATTATTGTGGAAAATGTCAATGATTTGTTTTAGGTATTTAGGCCTAACTACAACTAACGTTAATGTGAACACATAGTTAGCAGTCATGTGTGATTATGAGTTCACTGCTCGGTAAAAGAAACAAACATGCATAGCTACAGAATGCAGCCTACTGGACTGAACAAAATGGTTATTTACTGCTGTTTATCATAACAGTAAGCACTTTGTGTTTTGGGCACCAGAGGTAGCCTATGCAAAGCATTCACAATGTGGAGGCTTATTTACATGGACTTAAAATGATCATGGGCAGTCCATTAGCGCTCATTTTGAACCGTGAATGCAGTATTATGTCCTAAACTAACTAGGATCTCCATAATCAGAATCAGCTTTATTGGCTAAATATGTGTACAGACATTTGGAATCAGATTAAGGCAGATTGTTAAAAATAAAACACATAACTAGTGTATGTATAGTGGTCGACTGATATGGGTTTTTCCATTGGCCGATGTCGATATTTAGAGAGCAGGGCAGTACCTACATAATACCGATATCAAAACAAAGAAAAGGGAGGTCTGGATCAAAAAAGTGTGGGGGTGTCTTGTGCTCATGTCAAGCAGGGTGGGAACTTTTTAGCTACTTTATAGCATTTGGTACGAAATACATGATCACTTAAAATTTAAAATGATCATTTTAATGGCAGAGAATAACAAAGAAGTATAACAATAAGAAAATATTAAGGATAAAATAACAAACATATATACAGTGGGGAGAACAAGTATTTGATACACTGCTGATTTTGCAGGTTTTCCTACTTACAAAGCATGTACAGGTCTGTCATTTTATCATAGGTACACGTCAACTGTGACAGATTGAATCTAAAACAAAAATCCAGAAAATCACATTGTATGATTTTTAAATAATTAATTTGCATTTTATTGCATGACATAAGTATTTGATCACCTACCAACCAGCAAGGATTCCAGCTCTCACAGACCTGTTAGTTCTTCTTTAAGAAGCCCTCCTGTTCTCCACTCATTACCTGTATTAACTGCACCTGTTTGAACTCGTTACCTGTATAAAAGACACCTGTCCACACACTCAAACAGACTCCAACCTCTCCACAATGGCCAAGACCAGAGAGCTGTGTAAGGACATCAGGGATAAAATTGTAGACCTGCACAAGGCTGGGATGGGCTACAGGACAATGATCCAGAGGGGGAATGGGAGAAGGTCATGTGGTCTGATGAGACAAAGTAGAGCTTTATGGTCTAAACTCCACTCGCCATGTTTGGAGGAAGAAGAAGGATGAGTACAACCCCAAGAACACCATCCCAACCTTGAAGCATGGAGGTGGAAACATCATTCTTTGGGGTTGCTTTTCTGCAAAGGGGACAGGACGACTGCACCGTATTGAGGGGAGGATGGATGGGGCCACGAAATCTTGGCCAACAACCTCCTTCCCTCAGTAAGAGCACTTAAGATGGGTCGTGGCTAGGTCTTCCAGCATGACAACCACCCGAAACACACAGCCAGGGCAACTAAGGAGTGGCTCCGTCAGAAGCATCTCAAGGTCCTGGAGTGGCCTAGCCAGTCTCCAGACCTGAACCCAACAGAAAATCTTTGGAGGGAGCTGAAAGTCCGTATTGCCCAGCGACAGCCCCAAAACCTGTAGGATCTGGAGAAGGTCTGTATGAAGGAGTGGGCCAAAATCCCTGCTGCAGTGTATGCAAACCTGGTCAAGAACTACAGGAAACGTATGATCTCTGTAATTGCAAACAAAGGGTTCTGTACCAAATATTAAGTTCTACTTTTCTGATGTATCAAATACTTGTCATGCAATAAAATGCTAACTAATTATTTAAAAATCATACAATGTGATTTTCTGGATTTTTGTTTTAGATTCAATCTGTCACAGTTGACGTGTACCTATGATAAAATGACAGACCTGTACATGCTTTGTAAGTAGGAAAACCTGCAAAATCAGCAGTGTATCAAATACTTGTTCTCCCCACTGTATATAAATGAGACAAACAGTAATAGTGACGATAATAGAACACAAAAGTTTAGATGTAGGGAGAAACAATTTTCTGCCATTACAATCATATTAACAAAGTTATGTCTTCAAGCTTCTCTGAAGTGGCATAAAGAGGGAGACATGTCATGCAGCAGTCTGTGAAAGGCTAGCATAAGTACAGGAACCCAGTTTTTGCAGGGTATGCGTTTGCAAGGTTTCTGTTCCTCCCTGCTACATAGCCACTAACCGGCATCAGATTTAAGTAAGAATGTTGAGCTGGAACATAATGATACCTGTTGGGAGGTTAAATATGGTTCTGCTGTGGATGATTGGCCCGCACTCTGTCTGAAAACTGTAGGTTTTGCTGCAGTGCAGTTATTTGAGGGCTACTGCTCTTAAATATTATTTACTCATTCAATAGTCTCTTATCTGAGAGATAAATGTAAGTGAGCCATGCTGACATGGTGTCTGTACTTTCTCTGATCATAGGCACAGTCTATGGTAACAGTCTATGTGGCTGCAGTACCTGATTTCCTGCTATTTACCAGACTAAACTTCTATGCTCTCTCTCTGCTGGTTCTGAACTGTGCTTCAGGACACCCGTAACAGCAAGTTCAGTAACATGTAGCTTTATTGGAGAGACTAGAACACATAGAACAACTGGTGCACATATAGCAGCACTGATGGCAAATGTAATTACCGACATGTTTTGCAAGTACATCCGTATCCGTATGTTTTACAAAATTAACACTCTTTTACAGAATCATTGTATATATATATATAGTACATTATTTTTTTTGTTTGTTTTTGTAGAGAATAGTAGGAAGGGTGAGTGATAAATGTATTTAATTGTAATGGCATGCAGTGTGTAGAGCTCCAAGGCTATTTGTAATTGTATTTCCTGGACAGTGGTGATAATTAGAAGTGGATTATCAAGCAAATATCTTTTTTGATGGGGGTTATAACAGACCAACACTAGATTTACAAGTTCCATACTGACCATATGGAATTTAATAAGTATGTCTGTCAATATATTATTTTGTTGCTTTACATATATGCTGTTTATTTATGTATTCCCCCATCCTTCCTGGACGTTTAGGTTAATCAGTGTCTGACGTGAGGATTTGTGCGGTGCCTTATTTCTCTTTCGTGACACTTTTTAACCTTTTGATTTTACACGTGCCAGACTTCAATTGAACCTGTCTATCTCACAGGTCATTCAGAAATGGGGACTTTGATGAAGATCGGCAGGTAGACATCAGGCTTTCCTTCACCTCCACTACTGCCAGCGTTAAGATCTATTCCAGATATTTTCACCAACACTGATAGCAAGATAACACAACAGCTGTCCACTCCTTCCACTCGCTACGCACCTCACTGCCTAAAGTCTTCAGCATGTATCAGATTGTCCCGGTGGCTCCTGGGGAGCAGCGGACAGCCGGGGGAGCTGGTGGTTCTCCGCTGAAGAAGAAACTGGCTCATGAAGGCCGGCCTCTGGTGATGGCAGGCATGTTAGGCTGTGTGTTGGTGCTAGCTGCTGTGGTTGCTTGGTGCTACTACTCAGCGTCGCTTCGTAAAGCCCAGCTGCTGAAGGCTGAGCTGTTGGACCTGAACAAGGACGGCTTTATCATTCGTAACCAGGCGGGGGCCGTCATCTTCAGTATGACCTTCAGGTGAGTTCACTGTAGGGATTCTTTTAACCTTTTTGTCTATAAAATGTAAACACAAAATATAACAAAGACCTATCACAATCACAGAGCAAAGTGATATTCAGATTGCTCAGTTTGTCTAACCAACAGTCCAACCAAAGTATTCCATTTACAACAAGAAGAGTGCACTCAGTAAACACTTGTTATTTATTTAGAACATTGTGTTGTGAACACCACACAAACTAAAACTCCTCCCAAATAAAGAAGAGTTGAATCTCACTCAGTTGTCTCTCCCGACTGCCTTACAGTCAAGATGGCTGTGAAGATAACAAAAACAGGGATTTATTCATCTTAACTTACTCTCAACTTACTCTTAATAACTTTAATGGATCATAACATATCGGGCATGGAATGAATCTGCAGATTCGGTACAACATGAGACTAAACTTTTCTATGGATGTCAGTTGTAGAAGCATAGTTTTTAGCCAGCCAATTACCAGAAATGCCTTTTCCTATGTCGTAACACATATCGTAAAATGGCAAACACTGCTGCAAAGACAAAAGTCTAAGCTTTATGATAGGATGATAGGTACCACGAGAGGTCCTTGAGTATACAGTCGTAAATGTGCACAAAAATATTAGGCGTCTGGGTCCAGTTGCACGTGAGATTTGATGTTGGCAGACACACACACACACACACACCACACCTGTTGAATAATTATATAAAAAAAGCTGTTAGAAAAGTCAATAAAATAATGAATGATCTAAATGGTTTCACATTCTTTTCTTGTCAATCAAAATAATACTTCAAGCTTTACTAATAAGTAAGGTAAAATACAGAGTGACCAGAAAAAACAGGAACGTGTACATTGCACCATCGTCATAAATACTTTGGTTGTGAAACTAACAGCTAGTAAATCTTGCCCAACAACAAAAAAAACCCTTGTAACATAATCCCCTTTTTTTTTTTTTTTTGGCCACAGCACAGCTGCCTTTATGCAGTGTGTGGATGAATAATGGAAAGCCAGACAAGCTAGACACATGATTACACCCTTAGGGAAGACTGATTTAGTCATGCCCTTTATCAGCAGAGCTCACAACGACGACACAAATTAGCCACAGTACAATCCCTTCACTCGCAGAAAACTAGAGAGTAATACTGTAGAGCATACAGTATCTTCTGTACTGTTATTGCATTTCTTCTCTGTTGTAGTGTTCTTATAGTCTCAGTCATTTTGGTGAGCTTGATATCTGTACAGCAAAACAGAAATATGACTTCCTGCTAATAACAATTCCTCACTTAGGGACATGCTTAACAAGTTAATTTAAATGTTCTTCCCCTCTGCCAATGCTCCGTCCCAGGTCTGGCACTCTGGATCTGGACTCCTGCTCAAAGGAGGGAAATATTCTGAGCTGCACTCAGTCAGATTCTGGCAAGCTCAACTTCTTTATCCAGACGGTTCGACCAAAGGACACGGTGATGTGTTACCGTGTTCGCTGGGAGGAACTGCAAAATAAGCATTCAGTGGAGCACGCCATGGCCTATAATGACTCTCATTGGTACGGAGGGGCAGAGACAGCAGCACAGTACTGGCCTGTCAGGATGCAGGGCGAGGAGGAACCACAACCCTTCATCACGAGCGATGTCTACTCAAATCGAAACGCTTTTGGGGGAATCTTGGAACGCTATTGGCTGTCTTCAAATGCCACTGCCATCAAGATTAATGACTCCGTACCGTTTCATTTGGGCTGGTCAGAGAAAGGCAGGACGCTCAGGTTTCAGGCCCGATACAAGGACTCTCCCTTCAGACCACCAGAGGGTCAGCAGGCCTTACCTGAGCTCAGCTATAGAGTGTGTGTGGGGTCAGATGTTACCTCTATTCACAAATACATGGTGAGTATAATCACACTGTGTATTTTGGTTGGAGCAAAATCACCCATCTTATTTCCTGTAACCTTTTTATTATTGCAGTATAGTTAAGTTATTACTTAGTATGTGTTTAAACTAAGTAAGTTGAAAGTACTAAATTGAGTATTTGCTAATTAAGCCTTTTTGGGTGTAAATTAATGCATTTACACTTAGTGCAGTCATTTGGTGTGTATCTAAGAAAATGCATGTGATGCATGCTTAGAGTGGAGATGGAAATATCAGGGCAAAGTTGCAGTTTTGGCTGGATGTTCATTTGATTCATAAAGTATTCAAACTGGTATATGGTAGGGCTGAACGATTTGGAAAATAATCTAATTGCGATTTTTATTTTTTGTTAACCAATATTGCGATTTAATATGCAATTCATTTTTAAGCTCTTTACCTTCTGTATTATTCAAAACGGACAAGCAGTAAATCATTGTATAGTCTGACCAACACAATCTTAGATAGATTAAACACAATTAGGTGATGCGTGAATTGCATGAATTATTAATATGCAATGGTGGAGAAGAAGTATTACATTTTAATAATATGATAAAGATAATTTGAGTCAAGTCATAGCATTAAATAATATGATATTCATCAGGTCGGCCTACCTACAGACCACAAGAAAAACTAAGTTCACCACAGTGTTATACTGTAAGTGCTCAATACAAAACCCACAGTTCAACCACCAATTAATGAGTCCTTATCTCAGTTCAAATCTAGGAGTCCATCTTTCTGTATCCCAGTAAGCAAACAAAAATACTCAGTTTGAGGTTCAATTCAAAAGTTGGCCAATGAAAATAAAACCAAGTGACGCCTCTTGTGTTTTTAAGTGTTTAATAGACAGCTTAGAAATTCTCCGACAACACTGGAGTCCCCCCCTCCTCCCCCGCAGCCTCCGATGCTGGTATGCAGCCCACCGGCTGTAACCAGGCAGTAACTCGGGACAGACTTTACCATTACACAGATATTTCCTGAGCTGACTGGTGGCTGTGTGTGTGACGCAGGTGCCGATCGCCACAATATGTTTACCTTACTACCAGGGGCGGACTGGCTCAATAATTCAGGCTGGGAATTTAACCGACCCCAGGCCACCTTGTTCTCCTCCTACAAAGCTTGGGAAATGCCCCCCCATCTTTAATTTACTTGGTAAATTTCACTCAATTCCTGGATGTCTATGAGATCATGATTATATTATCCTATCCCATAGACACTCAACATTTGAGCCAAAATAGCCTAATATTGCTGTTTGACATAACTTCTGACTACACCAAATAGTTTTAAAAAGAGAGAAGCAACCAGTGTATTTTTGCACGGCATCCGTCAAGCAGCACAGAGCAGATGAACCGGGCAGGAAGTCAGACGTAAAACAGCGAGAATCTGGTCAATTTTCAAAATAAAATACCCTGGACAGACCTGTCCGATCAACAATAAACACAGTTAAAACAGACAAAAAAAGAAAAAATTTAACTAGATATCCTAATTAATCACAGTAGAAGTACATAAAGCAAGCACTAATCACCAAATCAACAAAATCTAAACATGTCCGCAAAATCACACAGGCAAAATGCTCTTATTCTGCAATTCTCATTGTGGGTGAGGTAACTAATGCGGGCCGCAGTGAAGAAGGAAGTAGAAGCACAAGAGGACAAATAAGTGGTTTACCACTGAAACCATGAGTGAAAGGACTGTTTGATTTGATAAGATGAGTTGAAGCTTCATGTCAACTGAACACTGTCAACATTTGAAAGTGAATAGCGTGTACATGGGTTCAGGTTTGCCAGATGATGTTGTGGTGTTGTTCAGGATTGTCAATGGCGATGAAAATGGGGTTTTCCCGATTGTCCTTCTTCTTTTTAACTAAATGAACCAAATAGGAAAATGGAACAAATGTGTTCACTGTGCATTCTTGGATGAAAAACTAAAATTGCTGATGTGTAATAAGTCTCTGCTCTGTATACACATGTTTTGCTCAGGTGCGTCGGTATTTCCCGAAGCCCATCAAGGTCCCAGCTCCTGAAGTGTTCAAAAAACCATTGTGGTCTACATGGGCTCTCCACAAGTCGGCTGTAACTCAGGAGAAGCTGCTGTCCTACGCCTCTGACATCACCAAATATGGCTTCACATGCTCCCATCTGGAGCTGGACGACCGCTACACTGCAGACTATGGAGAGTTTGACTTTGACCCGCAGAAGTTCCCCAATGCTAGCGGTATGTTTGACAAACTCAGAGAGGACGGATTTCAAGTGTCTCTCTGGACACATCCTTTTATCAACTATGACTCTATTAATTTTGGTGTTGCTGTGGAGAAAGGGCTGTTTGTGCGGGAGCCAAGCGGCGAGCTGCCTGCTCTGGTCCGCTGGTGGAACGGCATTGGAGGAATCTTAGACTTTACCAACCCCGAAGCCCGTCAGTGGTATTCCTCAAATCTGCAGATGCTTAAACTCCGCTATGACGTGACGTCGTTCAAGTTCGACGCAGGAGAGACGAGCTACCTCCCACGCCAGTTCAGCACCCGTGTCCCCCTGTCTGACCCCTCCACCTTCACCCGCTTCTACACAGAGATGGCCATACCGTTCAGCGAGCGTGCAGAGCTGAGGGTGGGTTACCAGAGTCAGAACATCTCCTGCTTCTTCAGGATCATTGACAGAGACTCTGTGTGGGGTTATGAGCTCGGCCTCAAGTCCATCATCCCGGCTGTTCTGACTATTAGCATTCTGGGCTACCAGTTCGTCTTACCTGATATGATAGGAGGGAACGCATACCCCAACCGCACCACAGGTATGGTGCTCCATATGACTACAGAGTTGAAAGGTAGCTCTGTTAAAGGCATATATTGATCGTTGATAGGGTTTTGGTTTGCAGTCTGACATCTGTGTTGTATTTTAGGTGGTTTAGATGGTCTGCCAGACAGAGAGCTGTATATCCGATGGTTGGAGCTTTCTGCTTTCTTGCCTGCTATGCAGTTCTCTATACCACCATGGGCCTACGACAATGAGGTGAGCAAATGTTTTAATCTTTTTCTGTTATTTTCTGTGCTTGAATTTAATAATCAGAAGGGACAAATTAAAATCGCTTTGAGTATAATTTTTGTGGTAATTGCATCTTTTCAATCAGTGCATCTATCTTGTCCAGCGATTGAAGGACAAAGTTATACAGTGATTGAACAATGATCAAAATAGCAATATGACCAACAGCTTTTTTTAAATTGTAGGAGGTGCAACATTTATTAAAGTGGTGGTATTATGCTTTTAGGCTTTTCCCTCTCCTTTTATTGAGTTATATCTGTTTTTTGTGTATGGAACAGGTTTGCAAAGGCCAAAGGGAGTTCCCATCTCCCACAGAAAGCTCTGCTCTGAACTGCTTGAAAACAGCTGTTTTGTAGTCCAGCCCTTCACATCCTTGGCTTGTGACGTCACAATGCAAACGCGTCTTAAAGCTTGCCAAGTGGCTATCGGGGTCAGGCACGCCCTCAAACCAAGCTAGTCTGAGCGGAGGCCCTTTGGCTCGACTCGCCTTGGTTTGGTTTTCCATTGTAGAAATATTGCACCTGCTTCCAGGTACTTTTTTTCGTATCACCTCACCTCCCTCAAGGTTCCAAGCGAGCTGAGGGATACTAAAATGTAACGTGAAAACACGACAGACTGCTGATTGGTCAGAGAGAATATTCACTATTCACTGCATCATCATTGCTTGCGCCAGACAGAGGCCAGCAACAGAAAGTTTTATATTTTACAGTTTTTGTATGGAATTTCATCACTAAATCCACTTCTGAGAAGTTTTGAGGTGAGAAATCAACTGTGTAGATTTTGAATATTGACAGTTTTTATGAGAAGTGATGGCGGAACAAAAATGTGCTTGAATTTTCAAGTTGAGGAGCTCCGCAAGTGGCTGCTGGGGAAGCCTGCGCCAACTCACGGGAGGAGCTCTGCTCCCGCCGTCACACAAACCGCTGCAGCAACAACGGCAGAGGAAAACACAGCTGGAAGGTTTTCATACTGCTCATGTTTTTACATTCTGAGGAATGTTGAAACGTTTTAACCATAGATAATTAATAGCTGGTGTGTGTGTCACATTGAACATTACTTCACGGCAGTTGTGTGTGGCGTCGCTATGACAACAAGCTACGTGCTATCTCTGGGTACTGTCTGCAATGGAAAACGGAGCAGGGCAGAGTAGAGTTGAGTCTATCGATTTGCGCTATGGTAGCATTTTTCAGCAAGGCAGCACAGATTGTCAGAACACCGACAGTTCACTTGAATAACTTGCACCACCTGCTAGGTTACGGTCGCAGTCTGAAGCTGCTTTGATTTGGATCACACTACCTTGTTTCTTACGACCCACCCTTCTCTGCTTCTGATTGGTTAGTAGTCCTTACCTGGGAACTGCGCATGTGCAACTCCCAACAAAGATTTTGTACAAGTAAGATGCATCACTCTGTAGCTCAAGAGCGACACATAGGGTGAAAAGAGGAGCTGCACTATGAGAAAAATATGGTGTTTTTTGAAAATTAAACCATGTAAACCTGCTCTTGTACAACCCCTAATTAAGATTTTGAACCTGAAAATGACCATAATACCACCTCTTTAAAGGAGAAATGTGTCAAAATACCTTTTTGTTTATTTATTTTATTTTTTTCATTAAATATTGTGGTGCTGCAAAGATGTCCTGGCCTACACATCATATTCTACAGACTTTGTTTGGTGATGATCCCTGTAAAAATCACACAATTATCATTTTAATGTGTTTTTCAATGAAAATGCGAAGCGACTGTGGCTCAGGTGGTAGAAGCGGGTCGTCTACTGATCACAGGTTGGCGGCCCGATCCTCCTGTCCGCATGTCAAAGTGTCTTTGGGTAAGACACTGAGCCCCGTGTTGCTTTCCAGCCACTGTGGATGCACCAGCCAGTGCATTCCTAATTGCCATTTCTTCAATTTACTTGTATACCATACTGAAACAGGTGGGGACCAAAGAATGACCATTGGCTTATATGGAGCACAAATAGTGCACGTTATTTGTCTTTGCCCTATCTGTGTGAGGGTGAATACCACTTTTGTACTTGAGAGATCCAACAGTGTGATTTTGTGTACAGAAATATAAAAATGTGAGTTAATTTTGTTAATCAAATATTCAGAAGTGTACACATTTTTCTTCACATCACAAAACCTTATTTACATTTGTAAATCTTACAACATTTACAAATAATATAAATAGTGTAAATAATATATGCACTATTTCGCATAGATAATATAAAATGACTAGAGCAGCCCTTTAACCAGGGTGTAATTTCCACCAGGCATGCCCCCCCTCACTTTTACATTTTCAGTTTGAGTCATCAGTAAAAAATCACTAAACTGTGTCCTCTGACCGTCCAACTGCCAAAATCCAGACTGGTGAAGCTCTGAGTTGATCAAAATGTTAAAATGCTAATCGTCACCTTGACTTATTATGCTGTGTTTTTGCCCCGGATTCTGCCTTCCAGACAACACCACCCAACCCCCCCTTCTGAGACCGCCACTGTCAAATTACTTTTCTGTGATTTTTCTGGTGATTACATTGTGATGCTAACATTGTTTCTTTGTGCGTTCATCTGCAGGTGGTACAGATAGCGCTGAAGTTCACAGAGCTCCATGAGACTCTGGTGGCCCCCAGGGTTCTTGAGCTGGCAGGTGAGGTTCTTGATACAGGAGACCCAATCATAAGGCCCCTCTGGTGGATCGCCAATGATGACGAGGCGGCTTATAAGATTGATTCCCAGTTCCTGATCGGGGACGACCTGATGGTGGCTCCGGTGTTAGAGCCTGGAAAGCAGGAGAGGGACATCTACCTGCCTGCAGGACGATGGAAAAGCTACAAGGGGGAACATTTTGATGTAAAGAAAGGCCCCATGTACCTCACTGACTACCCTGTGGACCTGGATGAGATAGCTTTCTTTACATGGGTTCACTGAGGACATTAAAAGACTCATAAACACACACATACTGTATGCACATGTACCTTCTTGTGAGCACACAAACCAAGAATTGTTTGTTTTTCAAAAGGAAATGACCACTAGTGTGATTCTGGTAAAGATTTAACTTCGTGTCTCCACTGACCTGTTCTTTATCTGGACGCCTGCCTGCAGTCTATAACCGTCCATCCAAAGAATAAGAATGAAACTTGTATTCACTTCTGATTCTCTTGTTCCATCCGTAAGCTGATCCTCATCCTCATGTGCCTTCCGCAGCCAATAGATTGTATGATCACCACAGTCTTCCACCTAATAGACGCCTAGATTACAGAGTCCCACAGCATGTTTTTCTTTCAGACTGCGTGATAAGGTAACTGACGTGTCCTTATTGTGGCTTGACAGGGTTGGGCACAGAACCGGCAACTAATGCACTCTGAGTTGGACAGATGCTCCCCTGCTGAGAGGGCATGCCTACCTTATAATACCAAGGCAACTGCCGTGTTGTGGAAACATATAGACTTAGTTACTGTGTTAACATGCATTAATTTGTAGCAACACGTTACTCATTTGTTCATTTGTAAGTTACTTGCTATTTACATTATTAACTATTTTCTTTAGATTGGTGGATTGTGTTTTAGTGTAAATACAGTAAATTCACATGATCCTGGGTTTAAATTTGGGGTACTAGTAATGATCACCCAACTAGAAATATTTTTACGTCAATAGCAGTTGACATGTAGTGCCATCCTGTCATTTCAGTGCCAAAATCAATCTACTGCTATGTGCTTTTTAAAAAAAAATCTGCACAAGTAAAATTCACAGCTCAGGGCAGAATTAAAAGAAAACATTTATAATTGAATGAATTGTGTTGATCCACAGCAAGACCTTAATGTATTATACTAATGCTACTGTTATGCCTTGTAGAGCAGGTATTGTTCTCAGCAATGCCATATTTGAATGTCCATGTCTGCCTTGTGACTTTATTTGCCTGAAGTAAGCAATGCCAACCTTAGCACAGAGAGCCAGTAAAGCGATAACACTCACCTTTGCCCACAGTGATTTGCTTTCTGTTTTGTACCTTAACAGTTTAAAGCACTGAGTTTGCAAAGTACATGAGTTTTGTTTTAAAATGAGACATCTGCTATCTGAATATGTCTGTCTGCTCAGTACACTGATTTCTGGCACGAGGGTAAAGCACACTACTGGTTAAGTCATCTAAATGCCTTGCCTAGAGATAATTATACTAGCACTGTTTAAGTGCTTTGAAATGTTTAAGTTACTACATATAGATTGTTATTTGGAGGATTACAGCATCATTCAAATGATTCTGATAGTTGCTGTTTGTTAAAGTATGAAACAATCGTACTATGAATTGGTTGTTTCTGTGACCACCAGATGGAGGCAAAGTCTGAAATGTTCAATTTCACAGTGGCTTTGCAGGTAAAGTAGACAGTGTTTTTAAAAAAAAAAAAGAAGAAAGAAGAAGAAATGTGTTATTTGGAATAATATTACTCATAGAAACAGAGTTTGAAATGTTGTCTGTCTTCTTGCTGTAGGTCCTAAATCAATATTATTTTCTGCATTATGAATGTAGACGGCCAAAGAAAACATGATATGGTATTTCCATTTTCTGTATATGCAGTATATATGTATGTTGCTGTGCAAAAAGCTTGAATGTTGAATATTGAAAGAGGTTCCAAAGGTTGTTGTTACCCTAAAAATAACTATGTAATCCTTGCGTTTTCACATGACAACAACAATGTGCTCTGTTTTACATGGATTATTCAATGAGGGCATCTTCGAACAAACTGAACAAACAAAAATCACTTGTAAACCACTAGCTTTTCTTCAGTTTATCCACCTATAAAGACTGTTTTATTCTCAGTGTGCCACCAGTGTGCGCGCTCTCTCTCTATGTATGTGTGTGACTTTGCATGATTTCTCCTTTTTTCCCGCCTCTACAAAGAAAGAAAGTTAACACTGTCTTATACAAAAGATAAGTCTATTTTTGACAGGTGCATTCAGAAATAAGTTCTTTGACAATTTTACCAGCTTCATTTCTGGTACAGAGCACACCAAATACTTCCTGCATTTTACTTGTGTCTAAAATGGTGAGAAAGTTTGTTGACCTTTAAGTGCTTTGTACTTTAACACTTTGCGGTAATGAGATGGTGATGTTAAAAGTAACCAACACCATCAAACCACGAAGTCCAAAATCTTAAGGTCTGCCTCATTAATCCTCAGGATCAACAACTAATATAATTTATTGATTTGTTCATATTTTGTGTTCTTTTTGTCACTCGTCTTTCTAATTAAGGTTCATAACGAAGCAAATATTTCTGTAAATAGTGATGGGAAATTCAGAAACTAAAGAATTAAAAAATGAAATGATCAATCATAGGCTGATTGTGGTTTTATTGAAATAAATCTCATGCCCCATCATTTACTGTTTTCATATATTGAACATGTGTTTATTCTTCCTTAGTAAAATTGGGTAAGAGTTAATATTCTTTAACTGTGGTTAAGACTGCAACGGACTGGAACAAGTGTCTAATAGGCTACACAAGTCCTCTTCACAGCAATCCAGTTTTAAGCCACATTTTTAGAATACACTTTTTATATCTTGGGTCGTTTTTAGCAAGGGAGCGCAAAAATAGTCAACAAAAATATTCTCGCCCTGACCTTTAGGGGGCCCCATACTTCTTAGACGTTTTAACTAAATATTTTGGGTGAAGGAAGTTATCAAGTTGGGAACTTAGGTTATCGCAGTGACAAACTGGAAAAAATGTTAGCTAGGGGTAGCAGTGTCCTTTGTCTGCCAAACAATCGTTGGAGAAACACTGAATTTTAACATGAACACATTTTAAGTGTTTCTATCTGTTGTAATATCTGGGTCTGTTTGTTTTGGAGAGGAGGAGACCTCTGTGGACACTTCGGCTACAGGTGAAATAGTTCATTGAAGATGGAGAGGTAGACAGAAAACAATCAACCAGATATGGACATACTCTGCTCTCCTCCATTTTAAGTCCTCCAGGTGGCTCTTACTTTGGTTTGTGGCACCTCCAACACACACACTGCAGTAGAAAAATACTTGTGCTGTGTCAGTGGCTTGTGGCTGTTTCCAGCACAGCTCGGTGTGACCAGCCCCACAACCCACCAACCCCCATTCCTCCACAAATGAGAAACACTATACACGTATAACTGGTTGAAACCATTTTACTATATGCAAGGTTACATAATAACTACACATCACTTCTTAAATGTAGAGACGTTCATACACCGACTTGCACAGTCTAGTCTTATGCATGTTTTTATTTAGTCAATGAAACTGCACTGTTACAATGTTTCAACCTCTTAATGAAAGACAAACGATCACGTTTAATATGTCTACTTGAACAGGATGTGCAGGTGAGGTCTTTTAGTTACCCTTGGGCTCTGCACAGGCACCTCAACAAACTACTAATAAATAAAGGAATGAAATAAGATTACAGATACATTTTATGCCATAGATCCTCTTTTGCAGAAGAAAAATTTATATTTTTCACTGGAAGCAGATCACACCAAATATTTTCTGCATTTTTCTTTTGGCTGAAAATGGTGAGAGTTTGTTGTCAAAGTAATTAAACCAGAAAGTCTTGTGTGTCTGCTGATCGTTATTGTTAATCATCAGAATCAACAACTAACTGTATAATATATAATTTCTTTCTCGATTGTTAATATTTAACAACACAACCTTCATAAGCATATGAGCATATGATATACATGGAAGCATTTAGTTTTCTTTCTAAGTTGTACAAATTGGGTCAGAAAAAAAGGACATCTTAGATATCAATATTCCAGAGCCTCAGAGAAAGAGTGTGGTGATGGCTGAGGATACCAGCAAGAGGAGGACACTGGAAGCAGTGGGCATGGCACTGTTGCACAAATCCCCTTCACAGCATTTGATGGGGCCAACACATAAAACACTGTTTTGGCAGCCTTTGGTGACGACACCTGCAAGACATGATAAAAAACAACAACAAGGCCGCCAAGCATCCAGATCAGCAATATATCAACTCGTTTGATAGATTTGAGATCCTCAATATTAACTATAAATACTTCTGGTGTGGAAGAACAACTTACCGACATTAAGGGAGAAACAACGGTTCAGGATGTCAGGACAAGTTGAGGTCTGTGTGCAGGACCCTGCGCTGGTGGATGTACATGTGTAGCATCTCAGGCCACATGCTATGCAGAAATACAGAACACTGTCATAGTTTAATACAAGTTTAAGTAAGTTTAAGTTTATGATTCCCACATCCCATGTTCCCACGCATGTGATGTTTCCTGCTGAAAGAAGACACTCATCACAAGTCTCTGGTACTCCCCTCTGAAACCACAGAACATTTTGAGAAAGTAACAACTGAGAAAAAATATATGCTGCCAAATATATAAATCCTAATTAAAAATAAAAACTGGATAAAAGACATTATACTACAAAGTGGATGCCTTGTAAATCGTATTTTTTTTAAATCCTACAAGAGTAAAACAATATTTCCAACCTTTCATTATTCAAAATAAATATTTTTCAATTCATTCATTTGATTAAAATAACATGATCACACTACTCAACCCCCCCCCCCTTTTCAGGATCAACAATAACCTTTACACATCAATAACTTTAATTTATTTGTTACATTGTAGAGCCAAAGCACATGAATCAGAAGCTGATCTTACCTGCAGACAGAGTCACCAACAGGACCAGAGCGCCATAGAGCTGCATTGTGAATGGAAAGAAAACTTTTATTCAACCCTGTGAGAGGAGAATTAGAGGGAAGATGTGAAGTCTTCCTTGGCCTGCCTTTTATAGGCCAGTTCAAACCTTTACAGTGTCATTTCCTCATAAAGTCTCCTCCCAACTGAACAGTGAAATGAGATTTTGATAACTCTTAACTGCATTATTTGTGGGTTTAGAGGTTACACTGCAAAAATGCATGTTCAGGACTTGAACATCCAACCTGTGGGAGCCAAGAGGTGAGTAAATCAGAGTAACAAGTGGATCTGTCCTGTTCTGGGAAAGTTTACACTCCTACAGCGTGAGACAAACCTGCATATGATCGTTATGTTTGCCTCATGGATTAGTCCTCTTCCTAAAAAACTTTTGTGTAGTGAAGGTGACTGTTTGAAAATATGAACATTAAAGTATAATAAACACTGTAACACTAGAAACCTCTTATAGTCTGGGTCAATTTGATCACTATAAGCTGTTGATTATTATAACCATTCTTTTTCTATATTTATCATGCAGATTACCATCTTATTAACATTTGTATTTTTATTATGAATATAAACTAATGAAACTGTGAGATTGTGAGAGAACTGGAGAATGTTGAATGGGTGTGGTGCAGCTGATATATATATATATATGTCTGTTTAAAATAAGTGAAATAGCTCATTGAAGATGGAGAAGTAGAAAACAAGAAAGAAGGCTATAAATATATACAGGAAATTCTGTGATGCAACTTTTTTTAGGCTGCTATATACTGTATAATAAACAGGTACATCTAAAAAAAAAAGAATATCATGAAAAAGTTCATTTTCTTCAATAATTTAATTGAAAAAGTGAAACTTTCATATTACACATTAAGTGAAATATTTTAAGCCTTTTTTTCTTTTAATCTAGATGATTACAGCTCATGGAAATAAAAACTCCTGTATCTCAAAGTTTATTAGAATATTTATTTTAGAATAAAGAATTTATAATACAGAAATGTCAACCAGAGAAGAGCTTTCTTGATTTGATTTTTGCACATTTGCAAATGACTCACTTATTTCAATAATCCTCTTTGTATGGCAAATGAAACAAGTGGTGGTATGATCTGTGTGATAGGGCCGTCTGAAGCAGAGTTTCCTCCCCGAAATGCCTGCGTCATCATACCTGCTGTCTTAGTAGATTGTCCAAGGTACAAGGTTGTTTATTAGGTATAATGACTAATAACAACCCGTTCTCACTCCCAAGTCGTCACATATGACGAATGATCAAGAGCCAAGGCTGCATAATGATACGAAATTAGTAGTTCCTTCATGCTACACATACAACAAATAACTAAGTGTAGGCCTATATTAAAATATGGTAACATACAAAATAAAATAAAAAAATAAAAACAGTTGTCAACCTGAGAAGCGCTTAAATCATTAAATCATAAAGGATAATTAACTCCAAACACCTGCAGAGGTTTCAGCCTTTAATCTCTCAGTGTTTCTGGTGCGACACAATCATTTTTTAGATGCACCCATTATACATTAATACACTCATTAAAGGACATACATGTGGGTTCTGTAAACACAGCCTACTTTTATCCTTTACTAGCCTATTTGCATCGATTAACCTTGTGATTTTTTTGCATGTTTGCAAATGACTCACTTATTTCACTGGTCCACTTTGTATGGGAAATGCAAACAAGTGGTGGTATGATCTGTGTGACAGGGCCATCTGAAGCAGAGTTTCCTCCTCGAAATACCTGCATCCTAACAGATTTTCATATGCTGGGCGCGGTTGCCCTCAAAAGTCTGTTGATGCGGTGCAGACCCACAGACACATGACCCTGATTGTGCTCAATAATATTGCCTACAATATTTGAGTGAAAATTTGGAGGGGTTTGTTTTCTTTTTATCCGCTGACATTTCGACCACATGGCTTTTGTTTACAATCCAATAGGCTTTCAGCCTTTAGGCCTAAGTAAACATAATAAAAATTAAACAACACAAAAGACTAGCTGTTGTAACAAATCCAACAAACAATGAACCAGCACTGAGTAAAGGGAGCAAACCACTTAAATACAACAGGAGGGGAGAACATAATGACTCACAGGTGAAACTACTAGACAATCAGTGAGGACACAACCACGGCAAGTCAACTAGTACCCTAGTTAGAAGTAAAACAGGAAACATGAAGTACAGAACAAAATCAAACCTGAACCGTGACATTTCCCTTGCCATCAGATAGCAGATTCCTTCAGAAATACATTTTCTAACCCATATAACCTCCATATTACTATCAGTGCAATTCAGATGCACACTGTATAAAGGTCCTCAGTTCCACTTGCCATCATGTGAAGCAACCAAAATTTCTGTGGAAGCGGTGTGTCTCATTTGCCTAGTGTAGTACTACAATTCGGCATTAGTTTGAAGTCTCTGCGTCACATGACTTGGACGCTATTGAAATAAATAATGATTTTCCCATAACACTGTTTTCACAATTTGAATTTATTGATGGTCCCTAAGCTAACCCCCGTTGGTTAAAAGTGAGCCATCAGAGGTGAGCTAACCGCACTTATACAACCGTCACTGGGTGAACTGACTAAAAAGCCGTCACTGGATCCTGGGTGAATGTCTGTCGAATATCCAACTTAAAACTAACTTCACCGCGGTTTGTTTAATGTAAATAATAGTAGGCTACGTACTAATTACAATGCCACAGATGCATGATTTTACTGCATGGGAGCTCTGACCCTCCTTATGGGAGCTGAGCTCCCACTGGCTCCCACGTAACTCGAACCTGGCAGTACTTGAACTTCACTCTTTTCAGGTTCAACAGTAACTTAAATAAAAAAACATTTATAACTTTAATTTCTTTGTGTTACATTGTAGAGCCAAAGCCCATGAATCAGAAGCTGATCTTACCTGCAGACAGAGTCACCAACAGGACCAGAGCTCCATGTGAATGAAAATAATTTTTTTTCAACCCTGCAGAGGAGAATTACAGAGATGTGAACTCTTCACTAGCCTGCCTTTTATAGGTCAACATCTCAGTTCAAACCTGACAGTTTCATTTCCTCATAAAGTCTCCTTCCATCTGAATGTGGAAATGATTGTTACAGCAACATGTGACATTCCGCAACCACTGACATTTTGTTGTTCATCTAGTTTAACTTAATCTGCCTGAAATACATGTGAGTGGTTATATTCCAAATTACCTAGTAGAAACCTAGCATTATTTAAAAAAGGCTAAGGGCATGTCATTATCACATATATACATATCACACATAACATCCAACCTGTGGCAGCCACAAGGTGAATAAATCAGAGTAACGAGTGGATCTGTCCTGTTCTTATTTGATGTGAGAAAGCCTACAGCTTCAGACAAACCTCCATAGGTTAGATCAGGGGCTTAGGAGCGACTTTGAACCTGGGGAGAATGACGACAACATACCATAAAAACCATGGAACAGCTGCTAGTTAATGTAGCCACATTACAAATGTATTTAGTTATACTGATGTTACACTTGATGTAGCTGTCTGTGATATTTCCTGTGTCTCACTTGGCCCTGACTCTCCCTGCAACAAATGTTTGTGAACACAGAACTGTCTTCAGTGCAAACTCTGATGACATGCCGTTGGAATATCAAAGTCTTTTTACTACGTGAGTTTTAGAATTTACTGTCTAGTTGCTATCCATACAACTCACAAGCTCGTCCTCCTCAGTTTTTATACTCCTGCTCCTGTGACCTCTGTCCTCTTCCTCTTAAAATACTGCAGGTTGCTCATCTCTGTGAACATTTTGATTACTTTTAAATTGTTTATGGACACATAGCAGAGACACAGACACACAAGCACAAGTTTTTAAGGTCAAGGATAGTCACATACAGAGGCAAAAGAGTGGCCCAGGAGTTTGTCCCTGGTCTACCCGCTCTCCAGACAAAGCATTTGTTGTGGCCTCTGGGTCTTTAGAGACATTTATTCCTGCATTCTTGAGAATTTTATGCAGGTAGAGTACATAACTAAATGAGCCATTAAAATACATTTTCAAAACTAGAAACACCTCTCTAACTTTCCTAAAGTAAAGTAATCACTTCAGCTGAGACCTTGAGTCCATAACTAAATAAGCCATATCATCATCAATCTTACCATAAACTGGTGCTTTGGACTGTGGTTCTGTTCTGTTCTTGCCCTCATCTCTGCTCTCTGTCTCATGTTCACCATGACAGCACAAGTACAGGTGCCGCTGGTCAGTGGCAGGTAGAGTACTCAAAATCTTTACTCAAAGAAAAAACAGCTGCAACATGGTCATTTGAATGCAGTTTGCTTTGCTGGTTGATTATCTTTTGCAATTTCAGTTTAATAAAATTATTTTCCTTTTTAAATCTCCATGAAGGTGTTGATAAGATCACTTTAAAATATCAGCTTGCTGCCCAGTCGACTATTGTTGCTTGTATATTTTATTATGGACATGTAGCCAACCAAACCACTTCCTTTGCAGTAGCACAGGCAACCAAAACAATTTGATTATTCCTAAAGCATCTAAATAATCTTTACAACGCAAAGAATCATTGCGGCAGTAACACTGAGCAGCTCGTTGTTGAAGCAGGTAAACCTACATACAGAGGAAGCTGTGCGTCATGCGTAAAGCCCAACAGGACTGTTTTATCCACCATATTTTCTCTCTCTGTGCATCTCAAAAATAATTGTTTCCTGAATAAATAACAGCTGCTGGCTGCTGAGTACAGTACAGGAATTTGACTCAGGATTGTATATTGCTCACGATGTGCTTACTTATACAATAATACCATAACACAATAATAACATAGTAACAGAATAAAATCAGACACAAACTACAGAATAGACAACACTAATATACACACGAACAATGAACAAAACAATATAGACATATTGACAAATAGTGCAGTGATCAGAGTGCAAAGGATGCAAGAGTAAACTATTATTCTCATTATGTACATGTTGAAGGTGGATATGATATACAGGTACACATACACATACATGCATACATGTACACATGTACACAGTGTGATGGAGCATAGTGCAAAGGATGCTGGAAAAAATAAATAAGACCTATGACCTTATGACCTGAGGTAGGTGTATTGGTATACAGTATATACAATATGACATAGTATGAACAGCACTGAAATAGAGAATGGTGAATAAATAAATAATAAGTGGTAACCAGTAAACAGGTGCTGATTAGAGACAGAGTTACTGGGTTATTGCAAAGGAATTGTTCCTGACACTGTGAGTCAGAAATCAGCTGTTCATCAGAGTGATGGCTTGTGGGAAGAAACTGCTTCTGTGTCTGTTGGTTTTGGCGTACAGTGTTCTGTAGCACCTAGCTCCTGCCCATTTCCTGACTCTGGAAATGTATAAGTCCTGAATGGAGGGCAGGTTGGCACAACAACAGGATACAGTTAATATATCAGAATCAAACTAGTGATCATCAGACTTGGATGTTACAGTGTGAAGTTTACGTTTGCTCTGCAGAGACTAAATACGCTTTTAATGCGCAGTTAACTGAATGTGAAAGTA